AGAAGGCAGTGATGGACGAGGAAGTGAGTAACGATTTAGGTAAGCCTGATACTGTGGTAGAGGTGCCTGATGGGGATGATGGATTGAGTAAAGACGGGGGGAGTGACTCTGCAGAATCTTAGGGTCTCCCCCCGACGCGGCTGGGTTATGGAAGTTGTTTATTACCTGTTTTCGGTTACAAGTTGAAGATGTTGGGTGGTCGCGATGTAAGGCGTTGAGCTGCCTGATGAGCTTTGTGGTATGTTGTCTAAATCTTTTATGGGCTGATTCCGTGGTGTAGCAAGTTGTTCGGTTTTACTGCTGAGGTTCTGTCTTCCTCTCGTAGACTCGGAGTCGATGCGTGGGATGGACCTGTTGTGCATGCACTGGTGTCACCTTGGTTTAAGCACACGTATGTAGGTAGCACCAGTAGAGATTTGCACAGTCGGTGGAAAGAGCATGTTTACAGAAGTTGTAACAGTCAGAGATCGGAAAATGGTAAACGAAACGAAAAATTGTACCGATGGGTACGACGATGTGGGATTTTAAGTTATGTTATTATTCCCTTGTGTCGTTGTGAGGCGAAGGATTTGGCAATCACAGAGAAATTTTTCATTCGATTATTGTGTCCTGCTTTGAACACGTGGGATAAACCTCGACGTGCACGAAGATCTTATGGTGCGAATGAGAAAGATAGAGGAGGTCAGAAGCATGAAGGAGGTTTGCTCTGTAATCATCCTTCGAAGGGGGAGCCTAGTGTCAGTTTAATAGAGATATTAAAAAGGTGTGTGGAACAGCGGGATGTTTCGGTCTCTGTGCAGTGTACAGGTGGACATTTGTTGGTTGATAAATGGAAGGTGTTGAAAAGATTGTTTGGAGGGAGTTATGTTAGCTGCTGTTTTGGTTATAAGGAGCTTCGGCATGCTAGGGAATACTTGAGAGGTGGTTTGGTTTTGCGATTCGACCCTATTAAGCAGTTCTTGAGCCGGTCCTTGTTTTTCAAAGCTCCATTGGTGAAATTACTGAGCAATCCAAAAAATAGGGGGAATTTGAAGTTTTGGGAGTTTGATCGTTTGATAGCAGCCTATACGGCCGTGCGCACGTTTAGTGAGAAACGAACAAGGTTTCGTCTACGTTGTATCTTGTCACACCATTTTTTATCACGATTTGGGATTCATGTACGCAAACGCTTAGTCGTTCGACTTCAATATGATGATACGATCAGTAAGGTAAGGATTCGGCAATTGTGTGCGCGTGTACTAAATGATATCGAAGTACAAGTCAGTTGGAAGCGCATGCTCGTTCGAAGAATGCACATCGTGTGGTGCAAAAATAAGAGCGTAGGGGATATCTTACATAATTTTCAAAAATTTGCTCGAGGAGGAGATGCCCCTTCCTCGTCTGGGTGTGCACGTGTGCCTTCGGATCGGTGATTCAGGTAATTTGTTTCCAGAATGGATGAGGAACTCAAAAAATGTGGTTCGGCCTAGCAAGGCGTTGAAGGTTGAGAATGTGCGTTCACAGCTTCTTCGTTCATTTTCTATACACCTTTCTCTCCCGCCTATTTCAGGTTCCATTTTTTCGGTTAACGATATCGAGGGGTGTTTTGTTAAGAATCTGGAGATCCTTCCGAGTGTTTGTGAAGATGACGTACGTCCTTTCCAGCATATGCTGTCCGGGCTGGTATTGTGCCCTATAGATCATAATTTAGGAGATACACTTGTTTGTTGTCCTAAGGTCTATCAGAATGGGATGGAGAAATTGTTTTTGGCGAATCCGGCGTTTGAGATTTGCTCCAGAGAGAAGGAAGAGGTTGTCAAGATGTTAGCCAAGGAATATCGCATGGAAAACTTGTGTTCAGTGGGACCGTGGGAGAAGAATGGTGAATTTGGGTTTGCTTATGGCATTCCAAAGCACAAAGACTTAACGAGGTGGAGACCAATCTGCCCGTCGCATTCCGAATGTACGGTGAGAGTTGGCCATGTAGTTTCCAAGGCTGTTAACGTTATGCTTTGGAACTTGCCCGCTCACAGCAACTTGAATTTGAGGAGTGCTGATTTGTTGCTTAGCAAGTTGAAAGCAGTTAATCAACGTCTAACTGAGACGTTTCTTCTTGGGGCATCCTTCGACATTAAAGATATGTTTTCTAACTTACCGCATCACTCGATTTTGAATGCGGTTCGGTGGGCAGTCGAAAGCACAAAGACTTAACGAGGTGGAGACCAATCTGCCCGTCGCATTCCGAATGTACGGTAAGAGGTGGCCGTGTAGTTTCCAAGGCTGCTAACGCTATGCTTTGGAACTTGCCCACTCACAGCAACTTGAATTTGAGGAATGCTGATTTGTTGCTTAGCAAGTTGAAAGAAGTTAATCAAGGTCTAACTGAGACGTTGTTTCTTCTTGGGGCATCCTTCGACATTAAAGATATGTTTTCTAACTTACCGCATCACTCGATTTTGAATGCGGTTCAGTGGGCAGTCGAGTTTTGGGAAGGTAAGGGAGCAAAGGGGGTAGGAGCGAGGCAACAGGGCAAAGGAGCGAAAGTGTCATTTGGAAGATGTGAGTTAGGACGGAAGTACGTATCATTTGAACTAATTATTTCATTTATTTCTTTTGAGTTGAAAAATACTTATGGGCGGCGGGGCGATTGATGAAACAAAATTTGGGTATTCCCATGAGGAAATCGACAAGCCCAGCGTTAGCCTGTCTCTTATGTGCATTCGATGAATATAAGTTTCTGTCAAGTTTGGGAAATAAGCGGAAATTTAGAGGATGCAGGCTGGTGGACGATGTTTCGGTATTTGTCGTGTGTAAGAAGGACGACAGGAGTTCCCTTAAGAGAGGACTTGATCTGATCGGTTCGTTTAGCCAATGTAATGATGATAATCTGACCCTAGAACGAACAAGCTATTGTGATAGTTGGGATTATCTTGGTTGTGTTCTGAAGGTGTTCGATGGGGAAACCGGAGTGCTTTGTTTTCCTATGACTAAGAATCAGAAGGGAGAAGTGAATGGTAAGCCAAAATTTCAGTGTATCCAAGACTTTGTTTCATACACTAGTAAGCAACAAAAGAAGAAGGTGATTTCATCATTTCTGTACAGAGCAAAGGCCTTTTTGTCGGTCGAAGGATTGGTGGTACCGTTTTTGTTCTCTCTTAAATGCGAGCTATGGCAGAGGGGGTATCCGGATGAATACTTCGACGAGGTGCTGATGGCTTTTTCAAGGAAGTTTGCAGGTTTATGGAAAGAATGGATTCCGGTGTTAACAAATTGGGACTTGTTTTTGAAGCTTAAGAATTTATGGGGGTTTGGTTGCCTTCGTAGTAGGAGGCTTCGGTTTTTGGAAATTGAGAACTTTTTTGCCTTCGATATAGGGGGCTTTGCCATGGTTACGGATGTGAGACAAGCTGGGGGCATTCAGATAAGTGAATATTAAAGGCTTGTTTAGGATTCCTTAGGATTCAAATAGGGATTACTCTTTGAGGTACCTTGTTTTTTGGGGGCCTAGTGC